GCAAACATCTGGAAAATTACGTCATATAGAGTTAAAGCATAAATTTTCACTTGAATACGTTGTTTTTGTTTATTTTGCCATTAAGCACAAAGCTGCACAATAAACTATCTTTACTGTGCCCACCACGGATACTAAAACTTGATGAGCCACCGAGCCACCAAGGGACTTGACTGAGTTTAAAAAAAGAACTGCATACAATATTAAGCAAAGTTAACTCAACTTGTATTCAATACAAACAACACTGATGAGTTTGCCAAATGTAAAACAGCGCTTCTAGATGACAGAAAAAGATATTTGAATTATCTATCTAGTCTCAAGATATCGTTGTTCTAGACTGAGATAGTATGACATTATGTACACAAAAACAGGCACTACCCACGTAAGTGGTTGTACCAAATGAAAGTTAGAACTTTATCCTCCAGGCATTTCAAAATTTAAACACAGGGATGTTACCATAGAAAGAAATAAAAGATCTGAAATTTAATGGGTACTAATATCATTCACGAGAAACTAAGTGGGACACCCATCTTGACCATATTTAACTATCACATGAAATAAGACTAGCAGTGTTGCAGTAAGACGATTTCCTGTATGTGGTTATTAAAAATAGTGAAAGTGAATATATCTAAAGTATTATGACAGTTTACTTTTCTAAGCTAAGAAATATCGAACCTATGGTATTTTTCTAAATATCAAACCGTGTACGACTGCACTTTAATGAATGTAAGAAACGAAACTTTTCCGGAATTGTAAGGTTTTGAACTGGCACAGTAGTCAGCTGTTACTGTACATTTTCCTCAACGTTTAACAGATAAATATAAATAAATTTGATTTGGATCGTAGTCGTACGGTTTTGATTGACAATTGAAAATCACACGGGGTGAGAAGGTGGGTTGGAAACTTGCATGACGGCAAAGTAGCGAGTGTCGGGTCTGGTTTAACGTGTACGTTACAGGATAACTTATACTGAAAATTTGATATAAACAATGAATGCACACACTTATACAAGTCTATTAAGTGTATAGCGATAAATAAATAAATAATGATCACCCCTCAGCTTTGAGTCCTAGAATCAAAGTATTCTAATTTCACATTTATTGCAGTATCCACATAAAAGCGAACGCATATCTGTCTATGACTTCTCTATAACGCTTTATGAACTTCTGAATAAGAAACAATACACGATCCCTATAGAAATAAACCTCTCTCTCTCTCTTTTAATCTTAATAACTATCTAATTAGCACGAACTTTTTATTATTTTTTTTATTACTGAATATTTTATTATTGAATTTCTCATAAAGAATTTTTTTTTTGCATTAACATAAAGATCTTGTGATGATTAAAATAAGACAAACACGTTGCGAATTATTAGTGATATTATATAGAAACTGAATTCGGTTTTTGTTGGTTTGTGATGCATGCAGATTTAACAAATAGTTTTGTGTAGAGTTGAAATTCTGGTTAGTAGTATTAGTAGTAGGTTATTAGTATTAGTAGTATCTTGGGAGAATAGTTAAATACCATATATAATTGAAATTTAGAGTGTATAAAGAAGAATGTCGCTACATTCAATTAATCAGAGCACTTCCACCGTTCATAACGGCGTTGCTACATTCAATGAATCAGAGCACTTCAACCATTCATTGGCTTGGCATGGCCTGGTGGTTAGGACGCAAGTTGAGCCTCGCCGGTTCGAATCCTTGTCACATCAAACATGCTCACCCTTTCAGCCATGGGGCGTTATAATCTGAGAGTTAATACCACTATTCATTGGAAAAAGAGTTGGCGGTGGATGGTGTTTACTAGCTGCCTTCCTATCGTTGCTAAATTAAGGACGTCTAGCAAAGATAGCTCTCGTGTAACTTTACACGAATTTCAAAACAAACAAACCATCATAACGACGTTGCTAAATTCAATGGATCGCAGCAATTAAATCATTTATTTAAATATTATTTAAGTATGTCTTTTAGGCAGATAAATACACACATATATATAATGCAGTGTTATTTTTGTCTAACAATAGCATCGGATCTACGATCAATTATTTCTTTAACAGAGTAAGGGCAAGAAATTTAATATATAAACACAAAGTTTTATCAGGCCATCGTAAAATACTTCGTTTTTGTACCATAAAATCATTTTAGTCAGTTTGATATTGAACAATTACTATATTCTGAAAACAAAATGTGTACGATGTTAATAAACATTTTATTGTATTCTTAATGAACAGAAATTTTAAAGGTAAAAGTATCTGGGATTGAGTTTACCCGTATTGTTGTTAATTTGTCCTGACATCTCGCCCCCAGTGGCACAGCGGTATGTCTGCGTACTTACAACGCTAGAATCCGGGTTTCGATACCCGTGGTGGGCAGAGCACAGATAGCCCATTGTGTAGATTTGTGCTTAATTACAAACAATCCTGACATCTCAGAGTTCAACCGTTCTCCTGGAATACCGTGGCAAATTCTACAATGAAAGTTGCCAAATTCTGTAATTTGTTAGTTTTAATTCACCAAAATTCAACACAAAATCATTGCTATTAGTTGTCTTTGCTGCTGAAAAGCTGAACTATTCTCAGGTTTTATAAAAATATTAATACTTTCACCTAAAAATCCAGGAAAATGCAAATACTTTCAAATTTAGGGAATTCAAAAATTAAATGGTATTCAAATCTTCCTCTGTCTGGCAAATGGATAGTTCTACAGCATCAGATTTAATACCTTAATTATAATATAGAAACAGCAAACACTAGAGACTACCTATGACTGGATTGATAACAATATGTTGCAGATAATGAATATGTATTCAGTATCAACAGAATTGGTAACAGAATCCTTGTACTTTTCTACCTTACAAAACAGAGAACTGATGCCAAAGCTTCTCAACACTGACAATAGTGGTTGGGAAAGTTGACCCAGCTGCAAGTACGCCTCACGAAACAGAGAACTGATGTCAAAAGTTGCCAACATTGACAATAGTAGTTAGGGAAGATTATCCAGCTGCAAGTACCAGGACTTAAATGTAGAGCTTGAACTCCTCCTCGGGATCTTAATCAGATCCAAGTATAGTACTAAGTTCTTTCCTTGTTTTAGGATGTCCATATATAGGTCAAGCAATTTAATTTCCTGCAAAAAGCACAGTTTTATTGATTCTAAAAACTCATCACAGCTTGTTTTGATAAATGGCAATGAAACTTGGTGATAATCTTCAAATTCAACAAAATCTTAAACACCTCAAATATTCATGATTTCCGAATTTTAAAGCGGTCATTCAAGCAGATGAAACTGTAACTCATTTTGCTGATCAAATTGATATGAACCTGCAAACGTTTGGTCAGGAATTCATCTTTGAAGTTTGGTATTGAGATCCTGTAGTTAGTTCAGGGTTTGATTTCGAGATAATTTTATTTTTGAGTCAACAAAACTTTGTAGTTTTGGGAACATCCTTACTTTACTCTTGATATTATTTCCAATTTTCTCCGAAGGTGACTCATAAAGCGATCCCTTCTTACACCTGCTTTGAAGAAATATGATTCAACCTCTTCACATAGTGGTTCATAGTTTTGAAAATATTTCTCGTTGTTATTCCTTCAAGGTTCATGATATAAGCTAATCAAGTGAGGTGCTTTGTGGATGACAAGAGTGGCGACAAGATGTATTTGGAGGCTTTCGGCATGTATGCTGCATTGTTAGTGGCAAATACATAGGCTCGAAAAAATGGTGTCTGTAACTACTTTTACAACAGCCTTAACTACAGTTAAACAGTTACTTTTCTAGAAATATAGTATCAACAGGAGATGATTTCATTTTGTAATTCACATCTTTATACAGCCCAGTTGGCATGGTGGTAAATCTCTGGATTTCGGAGCTGGCGAGTAGGCTTCGAATTCGTGTGATCAGTTTTCGAATGTGGAATATTTGCAGCAGTAAGCATGGACACGTTTTCCAAACATATATCAGCCCTTTCTGCCGACGCAGCAATTGATGTGTACAGTGCACTGGTAATTTTCTTTCCGTTTGTTTGTTATTGATCAGTTTCTGTCCTTCTTGAAATGACTTTTTGATTACAGTCGAACCCCGAGACTGATCCAAAATTATGTTAAAACTGAGTAAATAATAGACGACCACTTTAAAACATTTCACCGTGAAATTGTTTAGACCTTTTTATTGAATGTCACTTGCCCCAGTGGCACAGCGATATGTCTGCGGACTTACAACGCTAGAATTCGGGTTTCGATACCCGTGGGCAGAGCACAGATAGCCCATTGTGTTGCTTTGTGCTTAACTTCAAACAAACAATGAATTTCACTTGCAGGTTTCTTTCTTGTGATAACTTTGTACATTTTCTCTGCTCAGCAAGCGATTACGTGAATTATGCTCTTACCATATTGGCGATCGGTGCATACTTGAACTCGAAACATATAAGATCTTCAAATAAAAAAAAATTAATTATATACTTGACCAAAAGTGACATTGTTATCATATTTTATTATACTTGTCATTTTTAGGAGAGGGGAGAATCAAAATGAATAATTCTGCAAGAAAACTTGTCATTTCTGCAATTTATTTTTAATTGTGAGTTTGTATTTTCTTTTCGCGATCGTGGTGAAATTCCAGAAGGACAGGTTTGATTATGGATAAACCGTTAGGTTGAAGCTGAATTTTCTCAAGCATATTATAAATTTCATCTTAATCACTCAATATTTAAAATAAATTTTCCTAGAAGCTTCGGAAACTTTGAATTCACTCAAACTTTTATTTCTGTATAACAAATGTTAGATACTAAATCATTTTTGTGAAGACGCTATTGTGAAGGCAAGCTCTTCAATTTTTGTCAATGTAACAAGGTTTTCATACATTTTTTATTATTGTTCTAATTAAACTGAGTTACTTTTTAGTAATAGTTTAACAGCATTAAACTATTACGTTTAAATACATGCTAATTCTAAATACATAGTCACTTTTACACGAAGGCATCACATATATCTATTTTTATTATCTACAGTTTATAATACGTCATAACAATATCGCTTTTACTATTGTATAAAGTATATACAACATTTTGCACTTAAAAGCATATTTAAACAGTAACCATGTCAGATAGTTGATCATCCAAGCATTTGGATTGCTAATTTCATATTATTTCCCCCACCCCACATCCAAAAAAGTAATATAATACACACACACACACCCATGTTAGATATCACAAAATTTCACAAATAACCATGCTAGATAATAGATCATCCAGGTACTTGAGTTACCAACTTCATACCATTACCCCCACGTCCAAAAATGTATATAATATACACACACAACATGTCAGATATCGAAAAAAATTCAACAGTAACCATGTCAGATGGTAGATCATCCGGGTACTTGAGTCATCTTGGAGGATTCTTAGTGCTCCTGGAATAAATTACGAAAATTTTATTGATTGTATCATTTTAGAAAGAAAAAAAACAATTAAATTAAATATATGATACCATATATAACGTATTTCTAATAGTTCTCAGCTCGGACAAGACTTTTCTACAATGAGATGTTTTAATTTTGTTTCAGGTATATCTTACAAGTATGTATCTTCTTATTCAATAGTGTTACAATCACCAAATATGTTTTTTTTTTAAAACCAGGGTACGAAATGCTAAAAGGGCCTGAGCAAGGCCGAGTAAAGTACTATTGTATTGAAGCGTTATGAAAATTGTCTGGAGGGGTTTCTTTGCAGTTACGTTCATAACTGAGTTTAATGTGCTAGAAAACTAGGAGAGAGAAGTTGAAAAGTTATGTAATTTCTCAGTATCTTTAGTGAGCTCGTGCAAGTCGTGAATAGTCGAGATTGAGGCTATGATTCATCAACTATTATTACTCGATTTTTGATTTAAAACACTTAACAAGTACGATTATATATTATTTAATTTATCTAACACAAATTAGTTTAAACAATTTACAACAAATTAACATCCCACAAAAAAAAAGGAAAACATTCGTAGACCGCTTAACATTAAACCTGAGTGAAACTACCAGGGACAATTTAATTTGCAATAAACATTCGATCTGAAGAGTGGAAGTTATGGCGCCCGTCGCTTCTAAGCCCCAATTTAAATTCACGAAAAGCATAACGATTTTAGTTCAAAATATGGTAGTAAAGAAAACATTATTAAAGCCACTGAGATTCCTTACTTGAAGTTCTTTTCCTTTAGTATCGAAAGGTAAAAAAAATATGGAAATTGCCACCAGAAAGGCTGCAAGTGCATAGATACCTCCGGCCAACTTGGGTTGGACTTCCACTAGCAACTATAGTATAACAACAGAAAACATTACGTTTCTATATCTATTTCTTTTTTTATATATAAAAATAATATCATGTATAGTTCTTGTTAAGCCTTCTTCTATTAATGCTTTACGACATTTTATTCTCTTCAACCAGTTGTAATCAGTCATATGGTATAATCCTTACATATATACACCTGGAAAAAAAGTTAAGCACCCCCAAATATTTTTCAGGATTGCTTATTGAAAATAAGGTTTAATTTTCATGATGTTGAGCAATGTTCATAATTTCAAACATAATTAAAAGTATGTGAGCGTTCAGATGTGACATTTAAATCAGGCGCGTTTTTTTCCCCACGTGC